GTGTGCGAAAGAACGCGACGGGGAGCGCTCCGGCCTCGGAGGCTGCGCCGCCCGGGGACGTGGCTGCTACCCCCCGATCACCCGCCAGCCCGAGAAGCGCCGGCCGGGGGGCCACCCCGGGGGGGGGGGGGGGGCGGGGCGGCTGGAGAGGCGAACAGCGGGGGGAAGGGGGGGGGGACGGCGGCCCCCCCCCCCCGTGTGCGAAAGAACGCGACGGGGAGCGCTCCGGCCTCGGAGGCTGCGCCGCCCGGGGACGTGGCTGCTACCCCCGGATCAGCCGCCAGCCCGAGAAGCGCCGGCTGCGGCTCACACCCGGAGTGGGGGAGGGGGCGCCGAAGGAGGAACGACTTCACCCGGGGGCAGCTGTGTACAGCGGCTTTCCTCTCTCTGTTAGACCCCTGCGAAGTAGGTTAGGGCAGATAAAGTACTTTCTAAGGAGTCGGCTGACGCATAACTCGAAGTTAACCAAGCACGATTGTGCTAGTGCGGTTTCAGGGGATGGCTTGGCTCTGGGAGCCTGACCAGATTCGCAGCACAGAGTATTCAACCCCCACCCCCGGGGCTTGGTTTGGCAGGTGGTGCAAGCAGACCCTGAACCACAGAGCAGCCATGGCATTGTAGCGTTCAGCCTGTTTCAGCATGCTTGGAAAGCTGAAGTAACCCAGGCTAGGCACTTGGGAACACGCCATTGGTATCATAAGCAGCAGGGCGACGTGTTGCGTGTTGTCTCCAACACACACACTCCCCAGTTCTGCCTGCCATGTAGTGATAAGGAGGAGGAGGAGGCCCTTACAGGGAGTATCAGGGGGGACCAGCACTGCAGGGAGAATGGGTGGGGAGGCTGTGGCTTCTTTGGGAGGTGAATTAATTCTGAAGGTTGCATTGGCCCTCTTGGGTTTCCTCCAACCAAAGGCAGGCAGGTGGGCTGGTCCACCTCTGCTGGGGAGGTTGAACTGCTCTTTGCCAGAGTGTGTGCAAAACAGACATGGGAGAGGGGCCAGGGCAAAATGTGCTGCACGTGATGTTCCAGTTGAGGAAGCCCTCTGAGCAAAGAGGCCCGGCATGGTCCCCTGGATGGGTATTACAGTTGGCGAGGGTCTGTTTGAGTGATCCTAACTGGTCCTGCCAACTCAGGTGGGGAGAGTCTTAGCCAGCTGAACTGGCCAGTTAACCCCTCCCTGCCTCCTGCCCGCCCCCCACATCTAGACTCCTCCTTGGCCAGGGCACCCTCTTCTGGGTTCTGCTTCTATGGGCATCCTCTTTCTGATGCGGAGCAGATTGTAGGATTAGGCCCTGACATCTGGGCTTCTTTCAAGTTTCAATATACAGTTATAATGGTCCTTTAGATCAGCTGCTTGTGAAATCATGGGAAGGAGAGTCAACCTTTTTGCTTTAATACCATACAGTGCCTCAAATTACCTTTAAGTGGGGCTGAGCTGCCTAGGGAGGGTTGGACCTGTGCTATCAAACTCATTGCAGAGGCAGGGGAAAATGCCAGAATTGCCCAACACAGGCCAGGTTGATTTTCAAAAGAGAAGTGCCTCAGCAACAAGATAATTAGTTGAAAGTCCATTGGAAGGGCCCATTTAAGGGTAGCAAATTCCTTTAAAACAATGGACTAAAATGTGCTGCACTGGCAGAATATATAAAATAGTTCTTAAAGAATGCCGGTATGGTTGAATCAAAGAAGGCTTTAGAGGGGAATGAGCTAAAAAAGAAGGTTTTACCATGCAAAAAAATTGTAAAAGAAAGTTCTGCCAGGCTAAATATACAACAGGTTTTGTGCTTCCTCTGTACTTTATTTCTTAAATATGTCAAGAATAAGCCAAGAAGAAATTGGACTGAGGTTATTTTACAAAGAAGGCAAAGCATTTTAATGCTGAACAAGCTTGAGGAGGCCATTGGTTGTCAAAGGGAGGAAGAGCAAAGGGGGTCCTCCAGAAAGAGGGTTGTGGCCAAACCAAATGAGCGCCCAAAGCCCTCCCCAGGCGGAAGCCTTTCTTCCCGTCCTTGTGTCCGGAGAGGTGGGAGGAGCCGTTTCTCAGGCAGGAGGAGGGAAGGAACCAGAGGCGAAGCCGAGGGAGGGAGGGTGGGGGGAGAAATCCATCTCCTGAAGCCTCCCCTGCCCTTCACTGCTGGGGACAATGGGCAGAAGCTCTTTCTTCACCGGCCTGCTCTGAGGCCTGCTTTGCTGCACCCTCCTGTGCTTTGGGGGAAGAAGTCCTAGCTGTCACTTTCTGCTCCTTGACCAGCTCCTTTTTCTTCCCTCGCCAGGCTACCAGGTGACGGTGCTGGTACGGGACCCTGTCCGGCTCCCCCCAGAGCTCCAGCCTGCACAAGTGGTGGTCGGAGATGTACTGAACCGGGCAGACGTTGATCGAGCAGTGAATGGGCAGGATGCTGTAATCATCATCTTGGGCACCCGCAACGACCTCAGTAGGAGTGGTTGCACTTCCTCCCCAGTCCCCTCCCTGCCCTGTGGCTTTTGGCTCACATGGGTTTTCTTTTCCACCTCTTAGGTCCCACAACAATGATGTCTGAAGGCACCCGAAACATTGTTGCAGCCATGAAATCCTGTGGCATCCGCAAGGTGGTGGTGTGTCTCTCAGGTAGGGGTCTCCTTGCAAGCACAGATTTAATGTTCCCCCATCCCCTGGACAGGATCTCCTGTTGAGTGGATCAGAAAGACCCCAATCACTGCCTGTCCAATAGCCCTGGGTCTTCTTGGGAAAAAGCTGCATTGGAGAGGCAGTTCCACTGAGCGAGCAGTTTGAGGTGCTGGAGGTGGGAGATTGAAGTAAGTGAGATAGCTGGTGCCAGCCTCGACTCTTCGCCAGACCCAAATAGGGGATGAGGCCCGGAGGTCTGGAGTTGGACTGGCTGTGAGCCCCAGCAGTCAAGAGGATGACTTGAGCTGCGGTTGGTTCTGCACCAAGAGTCACCTTCCTTGGTCTCCAAAGCCCTTTTCTTGTTGCTGTGACAGGCTTGCCTTGGGACCTTGGCAGATCAAAGAGGGTTGAGTTTAGATCCCCATGGTCAGGTGCAGACATGTTTTCCCTCCCTTGGAGGCTCTTGCACCTTTTACGCAAAGGAGCGGGGCGAGTTCCTGTCCTGGCCCTCGGGCTGCTCCTGCAGGGGAGACACAGACACTGCAATGAGGTGCTTCTCTTTGGGCTTTTGCTCATAGCTTTCCTGATGTGGGACCTGGACAAAGTTCCTGCTAAGCTGCGGCCGGTGACAGAAGACCACATCCGGATGCAGCAGATCCTGAAAGAGTCGGGACTGGACTGTGTCTATGTCATGCCACCCCACATTGCAGGTGTGCCTTGGGGAGAGATCTGGGGCTGTGGGAGCACAGTGGCCTGCAACCACTGGGTCCATCTTGGGCACAAGAAGGGTTTGTGAATGTGGAAGTAGTCAGCAAAATCTTCCATGCACAAAAACTCATTTTCCATGAGTAGGGTAACACAGAACCCTTTAATGTGGAAACATGCCCTGTTCCCAGTGCTAAATTAAGAACAGGTTTGGTTAAAATGCCTCTTTTAAATAAAATCCTTTGCCTCCTCCTTCCAGACAGCATGTTAGGCCTGGTTCTCACAAGGTAAATGCCATACTATGGCTCATTTGGTTTCAGCTGAGTGTGTCATGGGAACTTCCATTGGGGTTTATTCCAGAAATCAGGATTAAACGAGCTGTGGCTTAGCCTGTTTGGGTTAAGGTTGCTCCCGGCACGGTTGGCCCAGTTTGGCTTGCTGTGCGGTTCCTGGAGATGACACTGGGGCTTTCTTCCTCCTGCAGGTGACCAGCCCCTCACTGGCGACTACACTGTGACCATGAACACCTCGAGCGGCTCCCGAGTCATCTCCAAGCATGACCTGGGGCACTTCTTTCTCAAGTGCCTGACCACATCCGAGTATGACGGGAAGAACATCTATCTCTCCCGGCACTACCCCAAGGAATGAGCCCTACGGCCTTGCCACCCCCTCCTCCAGCCAGATGTTGGAAGTCGCTGTCTCGGATGGATCGGCCCCCACCCCTCGCGCTACTGAGTGCCTTCCTCCCCGTTGCAGGAAATCCAGGAGGGCAGCAGATCCCCCACGAGCCCCACCTCAGGCAGACCAGCTGCAAGCAGCCCCTGTGTGCTGACGCTCTCCTGAATTCAGACGCAGCTGGGTGTGCCCTTGCCCCTTGTGTGTTTGTGCCAGAGTTCTGGTCTGCAGCTTCCTCCCCTGGGTGGAAAGGAATCTTTGGGCAGCAAAGATTTTTGCTGCAGTCCCAGGAAAGCCTTTACTTAGAACCAAACTAGTGGAATGCGTTAGCCAAGCCCCTTCTATCAGCAGAGAGGAGGTGTGATGCAGAAGCCACTTTTAAAACGATGTATCTACCTAGAAAGTGGCTAATAAACAATCCTGTCTGAAGTACTAAAAGGTTGGAATGGAAGTAACTAAGTATCTCCATATTAATATTAACCTTCCTCCTGTGTTGCTGAGAAAGCTTGATTCGTTTTGATTCTTGCAAAGTTCTGTGTAACTCGAAAGCATACAAAGCATAAGCCCCTAATGAAATAAACATTGATCTATTGGGATGGTAACGTTATTATTTGGCTCTAATTAAGCCTTGGCTTGGAAGGAGTTTTCAGTATTACACTGAACCATTTATTTCGTGCGTTGTGCTTAAAAGGTAGAAAAACAGATCGCGCCCCGCAGAGTCTCTCGCTTTCTGCTAGTGGCCGCAGAGACGACGACGGATCTCTCCTGCTTCCGACTCGCCGGCCGCGAGGGGCACCGGGGTTGGGGGAGCGGAGGCGGGCGCGGTTTAAGTGGCCGTCCTGGAGGTCGGGGCGGCACCTCCACCGCTTTTCACGCAGGGAGACGTGGAGAGCCAGGATTTTATGAGCAGTAAAATGGCAGGTGGAGCTACCGAGTTCAGGCACTGTACATCTGCGCTCGGGCGTTACTGCTGACGGCGGAGACGCCGTTCGCGACGCGAGGCGTCGAGCAGCAGTCACGGCGATCCGCCTAAGGACGGCCGTGACTGCGCTTTGCTGCACGAGCCGGGAGTGGCCGCCCTCTTGCAGCTGCGGGGCTGACGGCACCGGCTGGCTCCGCTCTCCCTTCGG